TCGGCACAGGCGTTAGCCGAGCGATTTAATCAAATTCCGTTTCGTCCCAAATGTCGTTCCGGTCGATACGTATGCGCGCTGTAACGCGATTTCGGCGTAATAATTTTTCGCGCGTTTTTGAATAGTTTGCTCTATGATCTATCGATCGGCGCTGTTTACTCGCGCAGATAGAGGCGGCGCGGCGAAATCGAATTATGCAGATATTATCCGTCGCGGATGTTTGCGATTTGCAAATCGCGTGCGCGCGCATGTCGGTGGATTTTAAAGCGTGTCGTTCTAATACGCAGATATTAAAGCTGTCACGCGCCTGTCGAGTATAGAGATGTTGTATAACGTTCTCTTTAATAATCGACTTGGATACGGATCGACGCTCATTCATATAGCACGCGTGCGAACTTCGGTAAAAGGGGGAAACAGAAATGGCAAAACCCCGAGGGGGTAATAGCCCGTGAAACACGCTAAAGTCCCATATCCGGGGTTGATTATCACACGCTAACGCTATAAACCAACAGCCGTTGCCGTCGCTTTGATTTCGCCGCAAATTCGTTTCTCATCTCAGAAGGAGTCGAGTTAAGAGGATGAAGCTGGGAAAAGCAAAGGGTGGGATAATTCGATATGAGCGTTGCCTAAAATAAAGGGCGCGGTTTACTTAATGTTAGTCACGCCACCGGTGAGGCGAACTTTCTTCAATTTCCACCTTGCGAACTCGAGCGAACGCCGCAGAAGGTCGAAGCCGTCGAAAAACCTCGTTATCCGCGAGCGGGTTTCAAGTTTATAGTTTAGTTAACCGGTTTTCGAGCAGCCGAAGACTCGGCTTTGGACAAATTATTATCGACGTAAGTTAACTCCGCTCTCGCGGAAAACTTTGCCATGAAGCCGCAAAATTTAATGTATGATTACAAAGCGTCAATTCGACCGCTGTTTGCAAAAGTAGTTTTTTCGAGCACGAAAGTTTTAATACGTTATTATTCAAATGTTAAAAATTCAGAGCTGAGATTTATAGCTACTACTTTATTAATTAAAGTTAAAATTCAGAGTTGTGATTTATAGCTATTGTGCATCGTTCATTTAAAGTTAACAAATATTTTCTGGCCTTAGACGCGCCAACGTAATCCAACATTTATTTTCACAAATACAAAATACTCGAAGACAATTTAATATTTTGCAGCCACCTGAAATCTGATAATTTATTCCGAAGACCGCCGCGAGTGAGAAAGAAATCGCGAACGGTCTGTAACGGGCTGTAAGCGGCACTCAGCGCGCAATCAGAACGTGTCGCCCACCGTGATTGTAACGGGGGCGCCGGGTAACGAGTGGCTCGCAGCCATTAATTATGCAAATCGTATTCCTTTGTGAGGATGTATCAAATGCTATCTCCGGAGGGCAGAGGACTCATCTCCTTTCCGAGCGCCCGTGCGCCGGCCTCCCCGCTTTTTATTCGTTTACGCGTAGGTGACCCGGTTTGTTTGTACCTGCGGCCTCGTTAGAGGTACGCCTGAATACTTTTAACGAGGTACGAACGCGCGAGAGAAAGAAAGCTGAAAGCGAGCGTGTGTGGGATAGGCTCTGGTCGAGGTAATCCAAAATATATTACCGGGGCTTTTGTACCTTTGTACGTAACCCAACCCACGAACGGCCGTGCGCTCTCTCGCTCACGCTCGTTCTCTTTTTTTTCCTCCCCAACTGTATCCTCTACTCCTATCCTCCCTTTCCTATCCCCCCTCTCCTCTCCCACCCTTTTATCTACTTTTTATCCCTTCTTCCCCCTCTTTCTCTTTCACACATTTATACACTCTACTCACCTTGTCTCTTTCCCTCTCGCTCAATTCCCTCTCTCGGTTACGGCGGAACTTCCGCTCCGCTCTCATCTCGTTCCTCTTGCCCCGGAGTTATTACCACGCCGGGTCCGAGAACCGCAAGCCCCGCACGCATAGATAACGGCTTGGCCGCGCTCGAAATGAATTCGAATCGGCCAGAATTTAAAAGCCCGCAGGTATAACGCGCGCGTGCTCGTACTCGGTCGCGGTATGAAGAGAAGAATTTCACGTCGTGCTCGATTTTTTATTCCCGCGCTCCTCCCCCCTGCGCAACCCCGCGCCGAGCAACCTCTTTGATTCGCCGCCGAGCAATCGATAAAGCCCCGTGATTTATTTTCGCGGACAATTCCCTCGGCCGCTGCGCTTTCTTATGATCCTGTCCGACAGCAGAGGCGATTGGCCAGTGACGCTGGAAAATCCGCGTCATGGTACCTACACGATTTTTAGGATCGCAGTGTTTTTACGTTTGTATGCCTGGTTGCATGCCTGATACTTTCGCGATGTGCCGAAAATGTCGATTTTTACCACAAATATGGAATCAAACACGGGAATGATCCTTTAATATTTTATTAAGCGACAGAAATAATTTCATAATTCTATTATCAAATTTTGATTCTATCTTTCTGCCTTCTGAATTCTACCTTTCACGATTATTCTGTCTCTCATCAATACAATTTACCGCCACTAATCAGATTTATGATATTTTGGGTATGATTTATGATATTTTAATATATTTATAAACGCATAAAACATAGGGTGAAGTCCCGAAACTTAATTGTCGTGAATTACGATAAATTCAAAAGTTAATTCCGACCGATAATGAGTCCGTCTTTGTTCGATTATTTCTTTTTACGGCCGTCGAAGTAATCCGTCGTGATTTCTGGCGCTGATTAAAAGTTGGCCGACTAATTATTTGGGCCGTGCGTCTTTCGAAATTATTCCGCTGAGGGAACTTGTTCGGTGGCGATTAACGGTCACATATCTCACTGCCGGAAGGCAGTTATTTTTCTCTCCCTCCCCCGTGCTTCCTAAAACCGCACATGCGTCTGCGGCGTGCAAATAATACACCGTGCGGAAAATTTACTGCTAATTACTTTTCGTGCGCGCGCACGAGCGAGCTTGGCTGCGTTATAAAACAGATCGCAAGATTCGCGACTGCCGTCACCGACTGATAATATCGAAATCCATTAGCCTCGCGCCGACCAAGTGACGTCACGGTCTTGTTAAATTTTTTTTCCGGCAAAAGGAAACACTCCATCCGATAATGTGCGATCCGATGGCCTATTTTCGGGCTGAATTCCGATGACCTTTGATTCCTGTGAGAAACGTGTGCACGGTTCACGGTAGAGCGATCACTCAACGCTGAAATCCTCTGTTTCGAGCCTTTTTCGAGCGATACGAGGCGATGTCCTCTTGCTCTAATTGTCCCGCTGACGTGTTCTCCGCGCTGTTCCTCGAGAAGGCAAATTAAGCGCTCGGGTCGAGCGGAAAATCGCGCTTGTATGTGAACATCTGCAGCTTGCAAAGCTCACCGATTTCGCCCCACCAATCTCTATCTCTTCTCTTCGCAGTGGCAGGGGTTTGAAGATAAATAAATCCACAGATCTCACCGCGAATATATTCATAAATGCCACAAGCGGCCATAATCCGATAATGAAATTTTAACGACAGATTTTTCGATACATTTTGATTTCATCTTTTTCCCCCCTTCTTTTTAATTTGGCGCGATTTAATTAAGCTTTTATTAGTTGTATTATTTAAACCAATTTTACATGCGAAATTAATTAAAATCAAGATTTTGCATATTATATTATCGCAAATGAAAGAAAAACATTATTAATAATTTAACATAAATCCACCATAGGTAATACGCTGTATTCCATTGTCGGTTTAAATATTTAATGAGGTCTATTTTCTGTATCGATGAGTGGGATTTGACATCTCTTTTGAATTACACAGTTGAATCATCTCTCTCTCTCTTTCTCTCTCTCAACCGTAATAATATAAAATGTTGTTTATCTAGCTCTCGGAGTTGTAGTACGCTGTGACGCGGATTGCGGATCACGATGTTTTCCTCTTCGGCATTTTGTCGGAGCAGATAAAAACGCCGATAAAAACGCGGCAGTGCGCGAAACCGCGACCCCTATGCCGCATTGGAAATCGCGAACAAATATTTCGCCATTCAAGCGAATACCTCGTCATGTTTCTCTCTCTCTCCCTCTCTCCCTCCCTCCTTCCTTCCTCCCTCTCTCTCTCTTTCCCCTCGCTTTACGCTGCCGCTACAGCAGCAGCCCGCATCCTCGCTCTCTCGTTCGTGGCACGATGCGCGATACACATCCCGGAGGCGAATGCCTGTGTCCGTGTTGGAATCTCTGTGACGTCGGTAAACGGCGGGGTTTCGACATCAAAGAATGTCGTATGCCGTCTTGCTGTGAGTTGGCCGTCGCCACCGCCGTCATCCTCCGCCGGCGAAGCCGACTTCGCCCCTATATGCCACTTCCGTATCCTGTCACGCTTCGACCGAAGAAGCCGTGTGCGCCCCATTCAGCCACTCTCTCCGCGAAACGGCAGTCACCTACACACACGTGCGCCGCGTATTCGCGAGCGTGGAGAATATCTCGCAGACGCATTTTCGAAATAATACGCGTACTCGCCGCGCCGCTGGGAGAAGGTATATTTTTATCGGGCGATCGAGGCGCTCCATCGATTCGCTGCAAGCGAGGCGCAAAGACCCCGGCGCGCGAGAGGGAGACGGAGAGAGACAGAGCTTCGCCCACGCCACCCACGGTAATTATCGAAGGCGGGGTTGTTGACCCCTTTTCGTCCTGCTCGCTCGAGAGCAAGCCGCCGGCCGCTGCGCCGCTCTCGGACTACTAGATGCTACGAAGACGTTTGTGCGGTTCCTAAAGCTCGCGCCCCTCGCAATCAGACTGGGCCTCGCAAGTTAATTCGCGAATACCATTCGCTGATGCGTTCGATAATTCAAGTCTTAATTGGCATGCGAGAAGCGAACACAGGACAAATGTTTTTAATTAGTAAAATGACGCAATTATTTGATAATATAGACTTTGTTATTTGTTATGTTTTAATTGAGAAGGAAATAATTAAACAACACATAATGTTTAACATACATAAAATATGTGTATGATAGTTTATAATTAAAATATATATTAACTTTTCCAGATATACGGCGGAGAGAGAGAGAGAGAGAGAGAGAGGAGAGCGGAGAGCGGAGAGAAGGACAAGGCAGTGTACTTAGCGTTGATACAACAATCGGTGAGTCAATTCATTCATTATATTTTTGTAATTATATAAAATACTAATATCGTCCGCTATCTCTTTATTTGCTAATATTTATTACATAATTGCTGCGAGAGAAAACCGTACTTTGATTACATCTTTGTCTGTAATTTGCATTTTTTATACATAAATATTAAAATATTGAAATGAATATGTAGAGAGAAAACAATTTTATGAAGACATACCGTATATTTAGAAAGAATGTGATTGGTATTTTTTTTTAATTAAATTTATTTAAATAAATCTAAAAAATGACACATACTACAAGTAAATAAAAATGTAATACGCAGCTACATCAGTGAGTTATCCAATTGCTATCGTTGTCAATAATAGCCTGGCATCTGCATGGCATGCTATCTATTACAGCACGGAGATACCCGGCTATTATTGACAACAATAGCGACCGGAAGACTTGCTGATGTGATTGCATATTACATTTTTATCTATAGTATATGTATAATTTTATTTAGATTTATTTAAATAAATTTCATTAAACAAATGCCGGTCAAATTTTTTTCAGACAACGTTATATTATAAAAATTGAATTTGTAAACTATAATTCTGATAATATGGAGAATGTAATGTTTAATATAATTTCAACGTATACAATATGAATATATTTCTCATTTAATTTTATTAATAAATTTAATCATGCAATGATTTTACAAAAGAATGAATTGTCAAAGTAACAGTTTCAGAAGCGCAGTTTGTTCACGATTAAAAAGCTGCAGTTATTGATACACTTGTTCATATAGCAATTAATATAACCGATTTGCTTTTATGACGAGCGTCATATCTGAGCGATTCTCTTCTTTAGTCATTGTAAAACTCGAAGAACTTTTAAATACGACATATGTATTTCGCGAAAAAAAGTCCCTCTTACACAGCGACTAATAAAATATCGGTATATTAAATTTTTTCTCAATTCTGTTACAATTTTTATAATAATCCGAACAATCTCTGCCTATTCAATTTAATTTATTTGTATGTATATTCAATTTAGAACTCATAATTACGGCACAAAGGACGTTTTATCTCGCATTTTTGTTTTGTACCGCGGCGCAGCAAATTCACGATATGTTTTTCAAAAGTTAAGTACGCGAATTGAACTTTCGTTTTATGTGACTCTTCTCTGTAAGCTCATGAGAGAATACAGAGTTATTAGAGTTTGAGCTAATTTAATAGTTTTGGGATAAAAAGTTGGGAAACATATTTAGCTGTAATTAGCGAAAATTTGACGTAAATTCGGAATATATATACACATACGTGGAATGCTACTAACCCTCGAGAAATTTGGAGTGCGATTGTTAATTTTTATAGATTGCACAATATGATAAAAATATTTTTAAAGGATTTTGAATTTTAGAAAATGGTATGAATAATAATAATAATAATAATTATAAATATAGGAAACAATAACAATCAGCTAAAACTTAAGCTATAAAAATGGCGAATATTATCCCTCGAGATTAATATATGTACCTGTCTCGAAGTAAGGTAGTATTTACTACTCCTCGGATTACCTAGGGGGACTGCGGTAAAGGAAGACATTATAAAAATGAACTCACAAACCTTAACAAAAAGGGGTCTTTGCTTGAAACCCATAGGATAGCGCGTGTCACCCTTTGAATTTATCACGGATACCCACTCTACTCTTTGCCGTGGCCAAGATATTACTATACAAAACACAAAGCTCAGAAAAATAGCTTTAATAATTCGAGAAGAAAATCTCTCTTTCCCCTCCAAAAAAAACAAAAAAAAACAGAAAAAAACGAGAAATTTTTCATAACTTACAATCATTTGTACTTACAATTCGAGATTGTACAATTCGTCATTGTTCTTGTTATCTCTTGTAAAAAAGATATTCTCATCGTTCGTAATATCCATATATATCTTGGAAATATTAAAGTTACGCAATCTACTTGTCTCTACAGTACTTGCGCTTGTAAAGATTTAATGAGATTGTGCGCGACGAGCGATCTGTCGAACGACGGTCGGCGATAAAACGATAATATCGGAAAAGTCACTCGGTACCTACGTTACGCCGAGTACTTGCCGAGTATAATTAATTGTCGCAATATTCGAGAGCCGCCTCTACAGTTATCGAATTTCGTGCCTGATGAAATTATACAGCAGCACTCGATAGCGCGACCGATAATTTCGGATTCTAGCCGGGCTTCGCCCTTCCTCGCGATCGGGATTGTTGGCAGATTCTGCTGTTTTGGTTTGCCATCGCCATAAATATCGCATCGCCGACGTTAAGCAGCACAATTAAAGCGCGTACTGGCCAGCCCCATTGACGGATTTTACCGATTTGTTCGCTTGTTATCGTAAATATTGGCGTAGCGCCCATTATTATGCGGCGTAATTGGATGTTGATAGATTTTGCCGTTTTGTTCCGTCGTTAATCATAAATAGTGCGCGCTGCCAGCGTCACACAATATAACGGAAATTGGATTCGTGTCGGTTAGATTTTGCAGTCTTGTAGGGTCGTTAATCATCGACGTGGCTGACGGCGCTGTAAAACGGAAGCTCGTAGAATTCGTTAACCCTCATTATCCGATACAAATTAGGGGCCGTGCGGCGCTTCGGCAGGTGTAGCGTGTAATAAAGCGGACGTTAGCGTGGACGTATAAGAACTCTGTAAAATCTGGCTTTTTCAGCCTTCGTACTTGTCTAACTACTAACGAGCCTGAACTTCTCTCTCTCTCTTTTCCTCTCTCCGTGCCTGTCGAACTAGAACACTTTCGGAGAGCTCTTATCCTTTCCTCCCTTTCTCGTTTCTTTCTTTCTCTGCTTTGAAGTTCTTGGTTCTTTCTTTCTTTTTTTTTTTAACGAAGAGGGCAAAGTCGGCGGAACTTCCGACAACTCTAAACTTGGCGAGCTCAGTCCATTTTTCATCTCTTCAAGTTACTCTTATGAAAGATAATAGCAGACAGAACGGCTACGAGACGACCAATCTTCGCGTCCATGTCGCGCTTAATCATACTTCATATTTTATGATACATATACTTTTTATACGAGTCTGATATATTACATTTGTGTTATAAAATATTATATCTGCGCGTCATGATAACTATAACTTCCAGACTTGAGAAAGAAAGCTGCCAGGAAGAGTGTCAGATTTTTGAAACTAACTTTTTCATTGGAAAAAAAATGTTATGTGTCACAGATAGTAGCGTTTCAAAAATATTGCCGGAGTTTGATTTATTTCTCTGGTTTATTTTTATTTCTTTTACAAATATGAACATTTAACATTTATTGGATAATATTATTACTTAATTATACAGCAATAGTAATAATTAATTATTCTCAGGAGGTATCTGTTTGTGTGACGTGAATTGTGCGTACCAATAATCAATGAGCGTTTCGCATCGCTGGCGAATTTATGTAACGGTTGTTTACCCTATACATGCATATAGTTTCGCGCGTAAGCGTATATAGTGCAGTAAACTGTAGTCGTACTCCGTGATCGTTGAGAGGTCAAGGGTCTACAAAGGCTAGGTTGGATGCAGCGGAGGATTGCTTTTGCCGTGCGCGCGTAAGGACGTTCTTTGGCGCGACAAGTCGATCCCCTCGTGGACCGGTAGTCTTCTGTAAGCGCGAGATTATTGGTCTTGTTCGTGCCTTTATCTCTGCCGGAAGAACCACATAAGCTCACTCGCCTTACTCGATAAGAAGACATTCACTCGTAATATCCAGCGTTTTGCTGTCACATCACTACCGCGGATTACCTTACAAGTCGCAAAAATTTTGTCCTGCTTTCTAAAAGCTTCTAAAAATATTGTGCTTTGAGTGCATAACATTTTAGTTATAATTATAACATAAAATTTTCACCGCATAAAAATGGCAACTTTTCTAAAATATTTATTTTTCTCTCTCTCGACATAAATTCTTTATCGTTAAAATCGATGTGGAACATCGTGCGGAACATCGTGCGGAACATCGTGTAAACATTTTTAAGAGTAAATTTTTTATGAAAAAAATTCTGTCGCTCTTTTCAGAACTTCGTAAGTAATGAATCTTTTAATCGCTACTTTGAAAAGTGTTTGGCACCAATGATCGTTTCGAGTAACGTTAAATTATGAAGCTTAGTACGTAAGAGCCTCGTTATCGAAGAGAAAAGTCGGAATGGCCAACAAAAGGGAATAAAGAGCGCGGTAGAAAACGGTAGGGACGAACAAACTAGAAAAGGTGTCGGTCGCAGCGAGACGATATCGATCTACGTGCTTTTCCGCGTCGTTGCTCGGCGCAGATTTATGCTAATGGTTCTCGATGCTGTTACCTATTCCATCCTCCCGATTCGAGCACCGTGAGATCGCGTTACTCGCTGAAACGACAAGGGATGATGATGAGGTCCGGTTCATGTAATTCGCTGCGATGACTCAACCGACCGTCCGGAACTGTCCCGTTTAGTTTCGCGACCAGGAGGAAGGATCGTATCGATGTTACGCACGCGTGTATGTACGTACGCGTGCGATGCACGCTGTCATGACACGGCGGGGTTGGTTCTAGCTACGGAGGAGGGTGATGCGCGATAGCCGGGCGGCCAGCGATGATTTATGTAGGTCGAGCAGATGCAATTTGTATCGCGTCAGTTTTTACTGGCCGGGACGAAGCTACGCCGGCCGGCTGAGTTATTGCCCGGGCAAGAGTCGTCGAGCTTTTGGAACGACTGAAGTGCAGCGACTTGACGAGTTGCACGAAGAAAGGCGAATGAGGTGTGATTTGGCGCGTGCACCCATTCGTAAGTAGATTTAAGTCTGAGATGTTTGTCAAAACGAGATAAACGAATAATCTTATTGAATGAGATATTATAAAAAAATGTTTTTAATTTATTTAGTTTTTATATAAAAAAACATGATTCGAAAATACAAGAGAAAGGAAATAGATTTTCGAGATTTTCAAGATTGAACAAATTTATGCAATACACGGAATTATTAACTGCATATTATTATAGAAAGTTTTTTTTAACG